GAAAGTTCATGGCTACAGCGGTGGATTTAGGAAGGGAATTGGTAAGACAAAAAATTAGGCTTACCTATGGAGGAGGCAACGTTGGCCTTCAAGAAGCTGTTGCTTCAATAGTCTATACCAATGGTGGTATAGTTAGAGGCTTCATACCAGGGTACATAGCAGCACGACAGGTCTTCGGAGCTACATATGGTGCAGAGTACACCGTTTCTAGCAATTACTATAAGTATTTCGAGATGAATCATATTGTAGAAGCTTTCATCATTCTTCCTGGAGGAGTTGATACTATGGAAGGTTTGTTCACTCTGATCTCATGGGCATCTGAAGGGTTGCACAGTAAACCCATTGGTCTCTTGAACATTGACGGTTATTTTAATAACCTAATCAAATTTCTAGATGACGCGGTGAGGCAGAAATTCATGGCTTCCAGTCAGAGGAAACTTTTCATCTCTTCTTTCTTTATTGATGAGCTTTTAGACAAGCTAGCGTTTGCTAAAGCTTTTCCGTGTCCTGGGGCTAGTTATGACGAGTTTGTAAATCCCGGAAGATTAGACTTAGATTTGCATTTGTAACGTTTCTTATGTAATCGATATTGTATTCGTGTGGAAATAATATTGTCCATGAACATTATGAGTTAACCACAAATATTATTCTAAGTTGCATGGCCAGTACAAGTTAGAAAAATATTTATTTTCATCATCGGAATGCATCATGTAAATATCAAAAATTTTCTTAAGGTGGGTCAAATGAAAGATTTCATTATACAAAGTGTTTAACACACATAGGTTCAAGAAAATATGAATATTCTTGAGATACAAATCGAAATATAATTTCTTGTTTACATAAGGTTTCTACATTATTCAATATATCCTCGAGCCCTTATTGTTGGAAACGAGGCTTGGATAACGCAGCGGAAAACAAAAATTTATAGTCCAAAACTCGATTCCACCCCAGAACAACTTACGTAAATTACTAGCTATAGTAAGAATTTTACCTTAACGGTGAAAACGGAGAACGGAGGAACGGTCGGGGATGCTTTTGAGGAGATGAACGTAGCGCCAAACGTATGAAGCCTCCAACGTATCCACACGAACTTGCTCTGGAGTCCTAGATTAAACTTGTGCTAGCAAGTTTAATTTAGGATAGTAAAAACTATAATAATACTACTTTGGGAGTAATAAATATATAGTAAAAATATTTATCTTATAAATATTTTGTGTATATTTCTAACACTTTAGAAAAATAACTTGGAACACAAAATAATATTCTTCTCCCCTTTCTCTCTCTATGGCCAAAACTTATGTGTGTTAAGTGGGGAGGGATGTTTTTATTTTATAACATAATACATTAAGGAATTTCTAGGAATTTGCTTAGGGACAAAACAAAATAGGATTAGTGTAATGTCCCCAACCAACACAACAAGACAAATATCCTTTTGTTAATCAAATATTTGATTATAAAATCAAATATATTATTAGGTAAGAAATCAAATTATGTTTTGTATTTTTCCCAATGTATTTTCGGCCATCTCACATTAAAATACATTACATTTTATTTTGACATCAATAATTATCATATAATTAAAATGATGAAAATATAAAATATAAAATAAAAATAATATATATATATATATATATATATATATATA